GTGGCTCCCTTCAAGGAAGTGTTTTATGCGAGAGGAACGTTGAGAAATCGAGTAGAGAAAGACTGACTATAACTGACGATTATCAGTATTCACTAACAAACTATTTTTTGATTATTAAATTGTCGGAAACAACGTGGACCACCACGGTCCTCGACGAACCATGTCTACAGGAGTGTAGTTTTCATCGACAATCTGTTGCGACGCATAATTGTTTTTAGGGGGCCGTTGGCTAAATGTAAATTAACATGTAATGCTAACTGATAGTAAATGGAGTGTGAATTTACTGAGAAAGTAATCCAGTAAATATTAATCGTATTTGTAAAAGCTATATAATTCGAAATGTTTGCCCAGCGATTTTTCCAAGGCTTGCTTTGTTCCCCCGCCACCTTTAAAAAATAAGCGTTGGGACATCAACGCAATGAATTTTGAGACTGTAAAAACGTCACGCTGGGGGGCGGTGGAGGAATTACTATAGTTAACAGTCGGTGTGGAACTCAAAGAAGGGAACATAAAGTTAGACTACCGTTTAGAACGCTTACACCCAACCATCTGTAGAGGTATCAGAGAAGTTGATGTACACTATTCCTACTACAAAATAGCATACCCTACAGGCCATATCTTTTACAAAATTCTTATATTTGTGAAACATTAATGATTACTTACACACCGGCCACGAGGGACGTTCAAGTTGGCTGGTTTTCTAGCACTAATTTCGACCATATTGCGCGCCTCAATTACAGGCTAACAGCTTCAGAGCAAATCGCGCGATACTAACAGCCCCGAATCTGCTAACCACCGATACACTCTCAGTGTATCGCATTTCTGACACTCGCATGCCGTCTCTTCTGAGGGAGATGTGAGTTCTCATAAGCTACGGAGAACACCATTAAGAAGAAAAAACTTTTGAGTTTGCCCAATTTTGAAAAAGGTCGAAGCGTTCGGCGGGATTTGAACCCGCATAGTAGAGAAGGCTGTAATGTTGGGCGGGTAAAATCATCCAAGTTTTATTTAATAAATGGCACGAGGTGTGGCGTTTGTAGCTCAAGTGGTAAGAGCTCTGGCTTCCGGTAAAGATCGCCTATGCTTTGCGGGTTCAAATTCCGCCGAAGGCCTCGATTTTTTTCACAAGAGGCAATCTGCCATACTTCCCAATAAGGAATAACGTTGTTGTTTTTAAACGTTCTTTCATAATACAGTCGCAGAATTGTCACTTAACTGCTGACTATGCTTCGTGTAGTTTTCTACCAGGTAAAAGGCGTTAGTATGCTTTTTAAAGAGTAAATACATCAGGTTCCATCAATATGCGACCTCGTTGCAATGGGAGACGGGCAGCTTATTGCCAAAAAGGAGAGTTACGCGTCGGAAGTACCCACCGTCATTGTTCAAGTCAGCTGAGTTCCTAAAAATGCATAAAGCCATGCCTCACACCTGAATTACTTGCCCACTTCAGCCCAATCCTAGCTTTAGCTTTCAGTCCTCTATGTTGTTACCGCTATTGTAAGCGTTAAAAGCATTATTGCCATTTCTGACCTCCGAAGACAAGCTGCACGCTTTTCTCTGTAAACAGATCCTTTTCACGTTGAATCGATATCAGCCACTTGCTTGTGCCGAGCGCGAACTCACTAGAAGGTCGTTTTAATAGGCGCGCTGAACTGCTGTCTACAAATGTCATATTTTAGGGCAGAAAAAAGGTTACTTTGGATGTCAATAAACACATACTTGTTCGGCAGCAAAAGCTCATAATAAGGCATTTCACAGCTTTCTTGTGAAGATTGACCCTTTTGTGCAAAACTTTGTGGGCAGAATGGGATCCGAGCGTACGAGTACAATGAAAAGACGTGAGTATAATCAACACTCAAACCGCAGTTTTTATAAAGATGTGTTCAAGCACCATTTAATTAAGTGAGTTGGGCAGACAGCTGATATATTTCGGACTGATTACTCAGAAAGTCCTACTCGGATATTAGATAATTGCAATTCTTATAGTTTTAGTGAAGTTTGTTCTAAAATTGTATCAGCCGAGTTTGTCTTTGCGCGGCACAGCCAGTGAGGAAGGAGTAGTACTATGGTTTGTTTTCCTAATCTGCAGTGTAAGCTACAATTAAGCTGACTTGGTCTGTGCTCTAGCATTCAGGACACATGACCATATTTCGTCTAGTTAGGACTTTAAGCACGCCCCTTCATATGAAATAATCTGCATTCTCCCACATTAGTAAAATATGTGTAATATGGCAGGTAAGCCGACTCATTTAGTCTCTTTTATCTGCGGACGATAGTGACATCCGCGTTAGAAGCATAACATAGTGGCGCTAAAGTAAATAATGTTGATATTCCACGGACATAGCACTACGGGATGTCCCAAAAAATGTATACGCATTTTACCTTTTTGTAAAATTGGTGTTTATCATAATTTTGTTAGTAAATAAGTGTAAAAATATTAACGAGTACCATTTTATTGTTTTATCACTGAATGTTCTCAAACTGACAAATTTTTTGATCATGACACTGCTGACAACGCGAAGCAATCGAATTGCACATACCATGAAAAAAATCCCTTGGTATTCGAATGTATTCATGTTCGGTGACTTCTCTTAATTCAGCCACTATTACAGTAGTCAAATGCAGTGAAAAAACATTAAAATGATAGTTTTGAATATTTATACGTTTTTGAAATAACAAAATAATAATAAACAACAGGTTTAGAATTACTTTCAATATGTATACATTTTTTAGGACACCCTCTATTACTAGTGAACTTATCTAGCCGATTTGATATTTACGCAATTAACACGATCATGCCCCATATAACTTTTTTTTGTGCAAGCGTTTTCCTGTGGAGCCGTTTAATTTCAATACTTGTGTATTTCGTTGGCCTGTCCTAATGTGCGCAATACTAGACGGGTCTTTTGATTTTACAAAAGTAACAGTTATTTTTCAAAGGTTTACCTGGCTGCTGTGACTTTCCTAAGGATGGCGGCAAAAAATTAACTGTGTAAGTATGTACTTACACGTGCGGATGAACGTGCAGTCCGGATGTTAAAATCGTAAAATGTTTTGAGAACACAAATATATAGGAAAGGATCCAGGTACTATAACATAGTGGCTTTATCAAGCAAAGAATCCGCAGTCGGCGCTTTTTGAATTTTTTGCTTATCAACTCACATACAAGCGCTTTTCCAGGACTAAATGCATTTTTGAATACGAATTGGTGAGACAGTAATTGATGGTTCATGGTAGACCGCAGAATGTTACTTCGTTTCACATATTTAGCTTAATGCGTAGGACGCTTCGAAGATGCCACCATTAACAGCACCATCGTTTTAAGTATTCATCACAAGAGACTCCGCATGACTGGACTTAAATCCGAATCCACCTATGCGGAATTGGGTTTCCTGATGAAGCAGTTCTGCATTCTCTTTTATCTACTAGCATTGTCTTTTGAACTGTAGCGGTGGCTGCTGAAATACCTTAATCGTAAGGGTCACAGGAAGATAAAAAATGCCGCATCAAATTGTATGGAGAGGTTTTTCTTTTCCGACCGACTGCTTGGAAGCATTATACACCCTCGATAGCCCACTGGTTGTCTAGAGAACGTAAGTTGCACCATTATCACTACTATGCACTAGTAAGCATAGGCAAGTACGAGAAATGTGCATATGGCGTGGTAGTTCTAGCGATCACCCGTATGCGTACTACAATTATCATCTCCTGCAAGCCCCGCTTGGAATCGTAATTAGTGCGGAGAGCGCCTGAGATTTCGCTTTCGAGCCATCAATTCCCGCGATATCAGTGTCAGTGTTGAATGCGGGCTTGATAACTGCGCGAAAATTATGTCCACTGTGGTCGGAGTTGTTGCTAGGCCCAGCCCTCCCCACACGACTGATCCTCCTGCTCAAAAGGGGTATGGGAATGGCAATTAGTTACGCTTGTTGACTGACTGTGGGCCTGTGACCAATAACTCGAGTAGCTGATGGATCACGCAAATGTCACCTGCTGCGAGGGGTTCGGCCTCATTAAACTTTATAATATGGCTGGGTCCCATCGAGTGGGCTGCAACCTGGGCGTTAGCGTCTTTCTTCTTAACCACCGCTGCATACTCGACCATTTGCGTCCGGAGTAATCGTCCGGTTTCGCCGACATAGTTGCTTTGTC